GCGGCTCGCGCCCCCCGCCTTCCCGGGGCTCGGGCGGGGACGCGAGGGCCGCGCGGGCCCCCTCTGGGTGGGGCCGAGGCCTCTCCTGGGGACGGAGGAGGTTGGGGCGAGGGTGGAGCCTCTCTTAGTTTGGTCACGGTGGGGGCCCCGAAACTCTTCCCCCTCCCCCACGTTCTTCGGGCCTTGAGGAATGTGTCCAAAATAGCGGGCAGAATACCCGCGGGGAGCAGGGACTAGCGTCGCTTTTTTTCTAGAGAACTCCCGGGACTGGGCTCCCCTGCCCTGGGGGCTGGGGAGAGGGGCGGCTGCGGGGACCGAACCCGGCGCGTCGCTGGCCCCCTCCCCCACGGAGCGGGAAGGGCCCGGCTGCAATGGACTACACTGAGGCCTAGAGCCTGGTGGGCGGCCGGCTTCGGGGCCGCCCCGCATCCCCCGGTTTGGCCACATTAGCCAGCAGGTCGCATTCTCGGGGCTCGCGTTCCGAAGGAGGCCCCCCAACTTGCGTGGGACAAAGCCCCTGGGTCGGTGGTGGCGGCCTCTCCCGAGTTCCCTGAGTCCGTGGGCGAGGCGGGGGTGGGGGTGGGGAAGGGGGCAGCGTGTGCCTCTTGCATCACCGGCCCTTCTTTAAATAGGGAGCGAGCCTTGCCTCCTCGCATCCCAACCCCCAAGGGCCCCCGCCTCCCTGACCTCGCTTTGCCAAGATCCCTGCCCTCCTGGCTGCATCCCTAACAGGCTGTGTGACCCAGGCAGCGACCTCACCGCCTCTGCTGGCCGCTCAGCTGTGCTGAGGGCCGAGAAAGGGAGACTGCCCGTATTTCTGTCTTCCTCCTGCCGACTTCTCCCCACTCTTCCCAACCTCGTCCCGGGAGAGGCCCATGAGAAGCTAGCCAGAGGGGAAAAGATCTGGACGAGGAAGGATTCCAGAGGGGACGGTGTGATGAGTGACCGGGAGGAGCAGCCCTGTGCCTCCCCAGGAGGGCCTCCTTTCAGGCAGGGCTCGGGGTGCCTTGGCGGTGGAGTGAGGGGAGGCTGGACTGTGAAGTGGCCTCCTCTCCTGTAAATCAGAGCTGGAAGTTTCCTGTGCGCCGGGCGGGTGGCGGGCGACAGAATAGACAGCAGCAGAGCAGCTGGCCTGACAGTGTGAAGTTGCTGGTGTTGTGTATTCTTGGAGTTACGGTTTTCGTTTTCCTTTTTGGTGTGTGGCCTGTCCTTCATCCCTGGAAGAATCTGAATTCTCCAGCCAGCAGCCTCTGGGTCTCTCTCCCTCTCTGTGTAACTTGACTGCATTCCAGAGAAGGCAGACTTTCTTCCTGGGCTGCTGGGCACCCCGGCAACCACGCAGCCAACTTTCCGAGCCCACAGCATTTAGAGGCACAACCTACGTCTTAAAACAAAAACAAAAACAAAAACAAACAGGGGGGGGGATGCTGAAGGCAGATATTTTAGGAACTCCTTCCCCTCCCCCCTTTCCACAACATCCCATTGCCATGCCCTGCCCACCTTTGCAAAAGGGGGGCAGGAGTGGGAGGCGGTTTTTTTTTTTTAAACAAGAAAATGTCTGGAAAGAAACAAATTGCTTCTAGCTTGGGTGGCTTGTTAGTGAAGTTGTTTGCCATTGCAGATTTTTCTTCTTCTTTTTTAGCATTCTGTTCCCTGAGGTTTAAGGCTGTCTGGGTGTGTTGATGATTCAAAAGTAATTACAGTAGGGGAAGTAGAACAAAGTTGCTGAAAGCATTGATGATAAAAGCACCAAAATTGGATCAGCCTCCCAGACAGATGGGTGAAATGGCTTCCTGGTACAGCAAGGACAGGAGTGTGTGTAACATCAAAAAGGAAAAAGAAGGTTAATATCAGTTTGGCAGGAGTGACTATTTGTTGCAACCTTATAGGAGGATGTTGCCCCCTCCTAGGATGCTGTGCCCTGGGATTGGGATTCCTTGGGGGAAAGCCAAGGAAACAGAAGCCACCCTGCACCCTCCCAATGAAAGCAAGGAGGCAGCCTTTTCCTGAGCTCCCAGTGATCCACGGGCCTTCTGGGAGCATGGAGGTGTTCTGTTGTCCATGAGATCTGATGCCCCCTCCTCTCCAAGGTGCCTGGGTTAGCTCCTCACCTGCAGAACAGAACAGATTCTGAGAGCTAATCAAAGGATTCTCCTGTGGGACACTGACCATCCCTAAAAGTTAGGATGGCTGCAAGTTTTTCTAGCTCTTGTATTCTCCAAATAAGGGAGAAAAAAAATTTTTTTTATTTCTTGTAGAGACGAGGTCTCACCAAGTTGCCCAGGTGGGTCTCGAACCCATGGGCTCAGACAATCCACTTGCCTCAGCCTCCCAAAGTGCTGGGATTACAGGCTAAGCCACTGAGCCCGACCAAGAAAAATAATGTTGATATATTGATTTATTTAAGTATTTAAAGATGAGGTCTTGCTATGATACCTAGGCTGGCCTGGAACTCCTGGGCTCAAGCGATCCTCCCTCCTAGGCCTCTTGAAGTGTTGGGATTACAGGTGTGAACCACCACGCCCAGCCCCAAATAGGAAGAAATTCTGCCTTATTCTCCCAAGAAAAGTTCAGACATCTCTCACTGCAAATGTTGGTAGGGTTCTAACTTGAAAAGCTTAGAGATGAATCTTGCTGGAGCTTTCTTCCTTAGTTTGCACGCCTACTTGCATGGATGTGTGTGTGCACATGTGCGGGGTGATGGGGGTGGGGCACTGCTTGCAGGGTCAGGGTGTGTGTTCATAGCGGGCTCCCCCTCCTGCCCAGCTGGTGCCCCCCACCTCTGCCCAGCCTGGGTCTCACCTCATGCTGCCACAGTGACGACCGAACTCGCTCTGGGTCTCCTTTGGAGTTTTCCCTCATCTTGGGGTGCAGTCAGGGCCTGTGTGGGGACTTACACTTGCATTCTTGGGCCTGCCCCCAAAACCTCAGGGAATTGCTGGTAACTCAGCAACAAAGTTTGCAGATGCCTGGCACGTGGAGCTGGGGTTTGCACTTGACTTGCCAGCCTTCCACTGAGCAGGGCTGGAATCGCTGTGAAAAACCCCAGCCGCGGGATCACCGCCACCCCTGCTGCCCCCCAAATCCCAGAGATGGCAGGGGCGATGGTGTTCCTGTCTCCTCTCTTCTCAACCACAGAAGTCTTAAACTGCAGCAGAAGGTCCCTTTTCATCCTCTCTGTAGGGTCTTCTGAATCCCTTATGGGTTTTGTTGAAGTCATAAATACCGAGGAAGTTGCATTTCCAGCCAAGGTGAACAGATGCTCCAGCCTTTTTTTTTTTTTTTTTTTTTTTGTTGGAGTCTCACTCTGTCACCCAGGCTGGTGTGCATTGGCCGCTCCCGGCCACCGCAGCCTCGACCTGCTGGGCTCTAGCGATCCTTCCGCCCCAGCTTTCCAAGTAGCCGGAATTACAGGCATGCGCTACCACGCTCGGCTGATTTTTTTATTTATTGTAGAGATGAGGTCTCGCTGCCCAGGCGGGTTTCGAACCCGCGGGCTCAGGCAATCCACTCACCTCAGCCTCCCAAAGGCGCGGGATTACAGGCTGAGCCACCGAGCCCGGCTGCTCCAGCCTTTCTCTGGAGAAATAAGTCATTGAAGTGCTTGGAACCAAGTATGGGAAAGATCATCCGTAAATAGATTAGGGATTGTGTGTGCACACACTCAAGCTTCTCTTCCCCTCCTCTTCCTCACCCTTCTTCCTGCTGACTTCTGGGTAATGTGAGGTATTGTCCTTTGTCCCTGTCTTGGGAAGTTTGGTTCTTGGATTGGGTGAAGTGGGACCAAGGTTTGGGCAGAGGTATGGGCGTGGGTACGGTGGCAGTTAGTGTTCCTTGCTACTTCAAAGAATTGTTTCTGGAGCAAAGCTGGTAGCTTCAGGCCTGGTTCAAATCCCAGCTTTTCCTATTCTCGATGAGACTTGATAAGCCACTTTAGTTGAGCAACTTGTATGTAAAATAGAAATAATGGTATCCACTTTTCAATCATGCCTTGTACTTAGTAGGTGATTGAGACATGTTAATGTTCCTCTTGTTTACACAGCTAGACTGCCACCCTGTTCACCCCCTTGCAGTCCCC